TTATCACACGTTTGCAAAAACAAAAAAAATGATGGTCATTTATATATATTCCTAAGAAAATTGTTAATAGAGAAATGGATGATGAATTTGATGGGTTGATGAGCTTCCTCATTATTCCCGGAAAAAGCATACTTAGAACAGTGAAAAGAAAGAAAGGCTTACATGGACTGTGATCAACAAGATACAGCAATAGCTGACGGAGAAGACGGACGGGTAGAGTTTGACTGGTCAATACGACGTTGGTATCATAAACCTACCATAGTATAATAAGCCAAAAAAGATAACGCCGTTGCCGGGGATCGAACCCGGGTCACCCGCGTGACAGGCGGGAATACTCACCACTATACTACAACGACTTTGATATTTAAATGATATATAGAATTATATGAGAGTCAAAAAATACCACATCGCGACGACATAAAATATGTTGAAATTAAACTTGTTCAAGTATTATAAAGAGATTATGATTATAATTAACATCGAAGCTGACTTCTGGAGAGGCTGTTGTTGATGGTGAAGACCAGAGGCGGACGAGAATTCACGGGAAGAGAGTGTTGTGCTTAGTGGTGGGTAGAAGGATCCTAATATTTTTATGATAGGAATAGGGAGAATATAGATATTGATAAGACCTAATGCTTTGCAATTATACATTACTAACGGTGTTATAGGCGACTCTACTAAACTCGTGTTGACCAGTCAAACTTTACCCGTCCATCTTCTCCATCAGCTATTGCTGTATCTTGTTGACCACAACACATGTATGAGGTCAAGCTCATCAACCCATCAAATACATCATCCATTTCTCTATTAACAATATATATATATATATATATATATATATATATATATATATATATATATATATATATATATATATATATATATATATATATGACCCTCATTTTTTTATTTGAAAGGTGTGATAACATTAGCCTAAAATATAATTATTTTAGAAGGATGGTCGAGGACATAACTAAATTGAAAAAATGATTAATCTATCGAGGTTGGGATAACCAAAAATGAAATCGCCGTTGCCGGGGATCGAACCCGGGTCACCCGCGTGACAGGCGGGAATACTCACCACTATACTACAACGACTTCGATATTTAATAATATATAAATATATGAGAGTAAAATATGTTGAAATTAAACTTATTCATGCATCATAAAGAGATTATGATTATAAAAAGGGAGGAGTGCAATTCGGTTTATACAGGCGATGAGGGAGCATATATGCTGGTTTCTTTTCATTTAAGTTTACTTTTAATTAATAATAAATATATTATTTTTTTTATTAAAGTGTTCAAAAGTAGTAGTAGTAGTAGTAGTAGTAGTAGTAGTAGTAGTATATATATATATAAATTGCTGAGATATTCTTTATGAGGGCAAAAAAGATTAGAAAAAATAAAATGATATTAAAGTCCTTGGTTATGAAATTTAAATTTATCATATAGACTTTAAGATGATTAATTTAAAATTTAGATTTAATTATTCCAATGTTAAACCTAATATATGCTAACATGCATGACTCACATGTATCACAAGTAGTTAAGTGTTAATATATGCTTAAGAATGGATCTATCCCACACATCTCAACTCACTCAAGTTGACAATGTCTCGATCATGATAGGTTAACACTTCTTGAAGTTGGTCGTGCTCTCAAGAGGACCATTCTTCTAAAATAACTATATTTTTTAAGTTAGCTGTAGCATTAAAATCATTGTATCCTCTAAGTTGAACATATCTTAAAAATGATCATGTTGATTAAATCTGGACTTTAGTAGATTGGGCCCTAAAACAATTACACTTTTCAAGTTAGTTGTAGCATTAAAATCATTATATCATTTAAGTCGGATATATCTTAAAAATGATCCTATCTTTTTAGATTATTATGTTAATCAAACCCGAAGTTTAGTAGATTGGCCCATGTTACTATACATATTTAAAAAAAAAGAGAATCATTTATATATATATTTTTTAAAATTATTATGAAGAAATGGATAATGAATTTGATGGGTTGATATATGAAAAATGCATCTTAAGAAAGAGTCAAACGGAGAAAAAGTTACTTTGGTGTTTTCTTAAACATCATCGTTCCAATGATTGATAACCAATAAACCAAAAATGATATTTTCTTATTTACTCTAAATAGAATCCTCATGTGAGTAAAACAAGATGTGAAAAAGAGATAAACGAATTTCATGAATTTAACCTCAATCATCTCGTGATACCAACTTATCTACATATAATACACAATATACGTCTAATGATAGATTTGAAGTCTAACAATAAACACTCTTACTCATTTGAGTCGACAATATCTCAATTTTGATAGATTAATTATTTCTTTAATTTAGTTATGTCCTCACCATCCTTCTAAAATAATTATATTTTGGACTAATGTTATCACACCTTTCAAAAAAAAAAAGAGGGTTATATATATATATGCCATAGTATAATAAGCCAAAAATGTAATCGCCGTTGCCGGGGATCGAACCCGGGTCACCCGCGTGACAGGCGGGAATACTCACCACTATACTACAACGACTTTGATGTTTTATTTTATATAGAAATATATGATATTAATTCTGTCAGGAGAGGGTGTTGTGGTTAGCGATGGGTAGAAGAATGCTAATATTTTTATGGTAGGAATAGAGAGAATATAGATATTGATAAGAATTATAGAGAGATCACTTTTTATTATACATATAAATAATTTTTAAAGATAAATTAAACATGAAATATTAATATCTTTGATTTAATAAATTAACAAAATGCCTCCTTTATATGGCCACACCAATTGGGTCGGATGTTTAAGCGCCCATCTGTTGTCTATTACAGAAGTATCACGTCACCATTATAACTATATTATGGTTTTGATTGATCATGGATTTTAATCCTATTATATCATTTATATTTTGCATCGGATTAAATCTTTTATAGAATTATATCCCTGTATTAACGTGATATAGTAAGTTTGATCAATCAAAATGATAAATGTAATTACTCTACTATTATTTTTGTAGCAATAAAAAACAACCAGTCCTTTTGTGGCAGTATGAATTATCTATAGCATGATGAATCTTTCGTGGCTGGAGGAACCTTGAATTGATAAGCCACTTCTTTTATTCGCTCATAATAAGAGAAAGACAGCATCAATATTAAACGACAAGAAAGAAGACTTCTGCTAATACCAAACCGTGACCCATATGATCTACTTGATAAAAATAATAAAAGATAAGAATAATTATTAAAAAAAATTATTGAAGAAGTGAAGAAGTTTTATTGAATTAACTTTAGCTTGAATACATTAACATGTCCCTCTCCTATTTATACAGATTAGAAGAGAGGATTTTCATCAATAGAATAGAGGATTTTCCTCAATAGAATAGAGAGATTTTCTCGTATAGTTGAAGAAATATCTATTCTATCACTACTACCAAGTAGAAGCAATCATAATTCTCTGTCAGTGCTATCATCTGTTCATCTTCGATGGACGACGACACCACCAGCACTGAGGTTTGGAAGACCTGGAAAGTCCAAAGGAGTTCAACGTTTAGTCCACAACTAGTGCGCCGCTTCTAGAGGATAAGATGTTCCTCCCACTTCGGCCTTGGGAAGCCGAAGGTAGTGTTGGGTGGATTGCGGTTTGGAACTCAGGAAGGAGGCAATGGTTGTTTGTGGAAGAAGGTCAAGCACCGGGGTCAAAGTTCTATGGCAGATCGGACCTCTTGACCTGTTGCATTCCAAGTGCTGGACTTTGACCCAGTAAAAATGATGGAAGGGATGTTTCCTGGTTCCCCTCCAATGGCTGAGAATTCTTGACCAAAGGAAAAATGATTAGCAAGTAGAAAGCCGTTCATTAGCGGCCGGCCAAGAAAAGCTTGTGCGTGAAGACGAAGACTCCGCCTCTCGCTTTGGGCGCCGAGTCAACTTTTGTTTTGGAAACAGGAAGAAAAGGAAACCTTTTTGACTTCATCACTCAAAATGAATACAAGAATCTAAAATTCTACAGCAAGTCAGCACTCCAAGAAGATATGCTTGAGTGAGTCATGACTACTGGTTAGATGTAAATAATCTATTCCAAGTCAGCTTCCAAAGGAAGGGTTTGACTTTTAGAGGTCACCCCAAGTGCCACATAACCTTCCAGCGTGGCCATATAGCCTTCTTGTTACTATGGGACTTATGTGCTCCTTTCAACGTCTGTAACCCTTTGGGATTTTTCGTCCATAGGCACTGATAAATACCATAAATCAATTCCATCGAGAAAGAATCAAAAATATGTGGCCATTTCCATATTAACATAAGTAGGTCGATAACAAAGGGGAGTATCTACTTTTGTGGACGATGAACATTTTCTTTTTTTGGATATTTCTTTTACTTATATTTTGTTGATGGTGTAGCCTCGGGCCATTCGGAACTTGCTGGTGACCACGACGATGCCCCGCTCCATCCTCTCCGTCAGCATTGCTCTGCCTAAGACGGAGAAGCTACTCCCGTTGTACTTGTCTTTGGCGACGAACACAAAGTTTAATGCGAGAAGTAGGCCGTGCTCTCCACGAACGAAGGAGCAAATCACTACTATAAAAGAGACAATTACAAATGTCTTAAGAAAATATTATTAGGTCATAAAATTCATGAAACTACAAAACAAGAAAAATTTAAACTATAAATCAAACTATTTTAACTAAGTGTGGACTTAATAGTAAATAAATCCAAAGTAAATAATTAGATTTTTTTATGGTATATCTGACTTTCTTATTTATAGTTACATTAAAAGATAATAAGTTTGATTTTTCGAACGTTGGATTATATGGGACTTATCAAACTAACATAATGTTCTGTCTTCATGCTCGTAGGTAGTGTTCGGACTACACTATCATTACTCTGATTCAACTACTCTTTGCTGAATGTTTCCTGGATGCTTATTACAATGTCGTAAGAATTTTAATGGCAGACGTCTCTTACTAATCACTTGACAGCGTTCCAGTATCAAAGAGAAAGAACAAAGTACTACTGTAGCAGACGTTTCTTATTAATCACTTGGTACCAAGAGAAGATAGAGTAGACGAGCCAATGGCAGCGTTCCGGTATCAAAGAGAAAGAACATAGGACTACTGTAGAATAAGCTGCAAGCAGAGCAGCTTTAATTGCAACAAACAGCAGCAGAAGGCAGCTCATCAGCAGTGAAAGACGTAAGCATCGTACGCCATGACAAGCTCCATTTGGGTAGTTCCAGTCGACTTGATGAGCCTGCTGATGGTGTAGCCCCGGGCCATCCGGAACTTGCCGGTGCCCCCGACGATGCCCCGCTCTATCGGCTCCGTCAGCACCGCCCTGCCGAAGATGGAGAAGCTGCTCCCGTTGTACTTTCCGGCGGTGAACACGAAGTTCAGCGCCGAGAGGTAGGCCGGACTCTCCAAGGATGCCTGAACAGTAAGCTCCTGCGCTTTCCCGATGAGCTTGGAACTCGACTGGGGACCTTCCCTCAGTATGTTTTCGCCCACCCCGATACTCCCGAAGGTGTTGTTGCCGGGAGGGCTGACGACGCTGACGGTCGTCGCGTTCGAGCCACCGTAGTAGTCGTAAAAGTAGAAGCGGAGATGCGTTATCTTCTCTCTGTGTTCATGGGTGCTTCTCGCAATGGCAACAGTGGCAAAGAGGAAGAAGGGGAGGAGGAGAGGGAAGGACGGAGATTGCGAGGAGGCCATGGAGAACC